GCTACAGGTTGTGCCAAATTGACAGATTTTGTATAGATTATGCATGGAAAACGCAATTTTCTGCCATAAAACGAAAACTTCACCATAGAATTTTGAGATAAAATATGAGAAGATAGCTCTAATATTATACTTTCAGATAAGAAAAAGAAAAAATGGGGTCACGGGACCCGTTTTCTTGCTACATAATAAAATAGGTAAATTCCTAACACATTCTATTGTAAAAGTAACTTTATCTGAATTATCTGCCCTTACATTTGAGTTGCCTCCCCTTATGTGGTAAAGTTAGAAAAAATTGAATCAAACAAAAGTACTCTGTATTTTGTAAAATACAACCATAAATATAATAAAACATGTCATTTTCTATATTAAAATGAAAATTCTTACACATGAATTACCCACTACTCTCAAAATTTGCACATTTTATTAAAGATCTAGACCGATTATTTTCTGGTATTTCAAAATCCAAGATGGAGGAAGACACCCTATCTACCTTAAACTAACAACAAAAGTATACCAAAGACATCTTAAGGTAAACATACAATCTTAAACAATGTACAGGTGTTTTTACAATATGTAAAGTCCGTAACCTTCCCAAGTCTAAACAATTCATAATCAATTTAGTATTATCAAACTGTTCGTAAAATCTACTCTTTTTACATTTATTTACATTTAAAGTTTTCGTGGTTTTAATTGTTCTTTGTTTTGACATATAATCAACTGAAAATTTGGCGGAAAATTATTCTCTCTAGATTTTTCATAAATTAACATTGGTACCTTTTTTCTTTCGAAAAATATGTAACAAAATTATGAAAAAAAAAGTACGGGTTAGCGGGCAAAATTGTCATTGGCATTACACAAATAAAGCTAGAAGATTCCGAATATCTGACAAAATGTTAAAAAAAAAGGAGTAGCAAACATCCTTAAAGGATCAACTAGGTAAGTTGGATAATGAATGCCGATTTTCCGTTGACAGACTATCCAACTAACGTAAGTAGTAGTATAATGTTAATAACAAACAAGGATGTTTGATGATACATTTAGCTTCTGAAAACTTTTTTTTTTAAATTCAATTAAAGAGGTGTTTAACAAATAAAAAAAAATTACGTCCCATAATAAGGTAGTTGTATCTACGTTAAAATTCCTTTGATAAAAAACAATGTGTATCTGCAAAATTTCGAAATTAGTAATAACTTTCAAATTGAAATAAAAGTCAAATATTACGTACTACTGCTTGGGCACAGAAACGTGATGTACGAGAAACAATTTCACCGATATAAGAGTAGACGTATGTCTTTATTGCAATAGGCTCAGTTCTTTAAATATAAAAGTAAGTAGAATGTTTATCATATTTTTTAAACTAGATATTATTTTTGATTATAATATGTCCGTGGATAGATCAAAACTAATTTGATAGATATCAAGCATAGCTAGTATTGTATCGACAATTTCGAACCTAGAAGGTATTTCAAATTGATAGTTATACAGCTTAGAATGATTGTGAAAAAATAGTATTCAAAAATAATATTTACAATATGAACTAGTTGATTTTCAGTTCTCATCGCTGCTTTAACGCTTATTAATATATATAATAAAAGCAACTAAAACAACCAACAGTCGAAAACATTTACTAATATCTCAATTTGTGTCTTTAATTACTTTTCCTACATGTATGCTAACAGCAATCGCATGTTACTACATTATGCGCTATATACGCATTCATATTATGTCTTATCTCTTAACATTAGATAAGGAAAAAATCCAAGCGATTGTAGAATTTCATTTACAAAAAGCAACGATATTTTATACAAATGTAAAAGCTTAAGTGGAGGGCGCTCCTGAACAATATATATCAATTGCTTTAAATAATACTGCAAATAAAATTCCTTTACCTACAAACGATAAAACTTGTCCGACTTTGAAAATTTGAAATATACATATAAGCGAGACTAATTAATTAAGTAATTTTAGAATTCTACAAAATAATCTTTCTTAGTTAGAAATGTAAGTAAGCAGCGATTATGAGTTCGCCTTTGGTGGCAGGCTTATGTGTCATTTGGTGCATGGTGGAGAGTTGTCTCATTGGCAGTCATACCACATCTTCTTATTTTTATATTATAAACGTCTAGTTATACGATTGCGGTTAAAACTCATCAAAGATACAAAGTTTATGACTTAGTAAACGTAGAATCTTAGGTCTGAACTCAGACTTAAAACGTACTCTTTCAGCGAACCTCTAAATGAGCTATATTTCTCTAGATGTAAATCTAAGTAAGTAATATTTTAAGACATATGATGATCGATTGTTTGATTATAAAGTAATTAATTTACATAAATCTAACAAAACCACATATTAAACGAGGTCAAGGCTAGGTTGACACCTTCAAAACAAACATTAACACAATTTTGGTTTCTCAACGTTCAAAGTCGTTCTTTTTTTGGTCTTTTAACTTTACTCATTCGAGCGTCACTGATGTGTCTTTTGTAGACGAAACGCGTGTATGGCGTACAAAATTATTAACTTGGTTTCTTTGGTGATATGTTTTTTAATCATAATCATATATGATTATTCCAACAGTTATTGCAAAATTAATACGTGCACCTTTTGTATAATTTCCCGCTACTATTAACACGTATTTTGGTTTAAATCAAAGCTATTTGGAAAATTTCATGTCGCATGAAGTCAAAGTAAGGGTGACATCTAACAGCCTATAATGGTTTACTTTTATACATTTTGACTTGGATGGAGAGTTGTCTCATTGGCACTCATACCACATCTTCTTATATCTATGAAACATACATTTATTTAACACATAGGATGCCTTGAATTGCTGCGTCAATAGACAGCGTGACGACGGTAAACCCTGTAGCAAAATAGCAAGGTTTGTCAAATATTTTGAACACGAGAAAGTCCTGGGAGTGGCAAGAGTTAAATGAAAAAAAAACTGTATTCCAGTAATACCCAGTCAAAATAAGTAAACGGCAGACAGAACTGCTTTCTTAACTACACGAGTTAAGAAGAGAGGGTCGACGCGACGCTCGGATGGTAATGGACAAGTTATATAACGGCAATCAATTTGTAAACCTGCTGTCTCCACCTTGGATTCCAAAGCAAACTAGTCATCAAGGCCGATCAATGATGAGACAAGAATCTGGACCATCAACTACGACTTATATCACACCTCAGATCCGTAATTAGCAACAAGTTTCGACCATCTGTACTACCGACCGCACCTCAATTCCGTCCTGTGCCGAATCCTAAGAGATAGGAAATTGGCAACAGGGGTTATCTTGATAGCTTTGACATTTATATATGCTCGAAAATATTCGGCCAATATTCGGATTGCATGTTTTAAAGTTTGTGTTATAAAAACAAACCTTCTGTAGTGTGAATTTTGGTAATTCAATTGAAATGATATTTTGATTTTTGTAACGAAAAATGATGACTTGGATATTTTAGATATACTAAATTGTGCCAAAAACAAAAATTGTATTTTTTTCTAAGATAAAAAGTCAACAAAGTATTCTATTTACCCTATGTAATCAGAAAGTATGTTCACCTATATATAAACTTACATTTTTTTTAATATACTGTCAGACAACGACTTCAGGAGATATGGTATGATTGCAATAAAACATTATCCACCAGAGATCAAATGAAGTGGATATAACCAATTATAGGCTACTGAACGGCCTTCAAAAATGAGAAAAACTCATATAGGATAGTCGGCTATAAAAGGCCCCGTAATGGCAAATGTAAAAGAAATCAACTTTGAATAATAATGGCCTTATTTATAACAATACAATTTACAAAAAAAAAACCAGATCTGACAGACGCAAACTACCGACAACCGCTGAAATGCATGCTCCTGACTTGCGACAGACACATAAATAATGGCGGGGTAAAACATGTTTGCGAGCACTAAAACCCTATTTAACTTGAGACATAGGTTTAACAGCACAACATAAGAACAGACAGTTGCTATTAGCTTAACTAAAAACGAGCCGCAAAAACAACCGAAATAAAAACAATAGAAACACAGCCCGATATAAGACTACTCACAGATAATGAAAGTTAGTTCAATTACAACTCATAGATAAATCATGTTATCCCATACTAAAGTATCAATCAGTATACTTCAAAAACCAGTTCATTCAAAAAAGATCTTTATCTGTATGTGATAGTTATATATTCGTTATACGCGACCTCGTGGCATTGTTTACACAGGTCATGGGTTCACTCTGTTCGCTGTCAAACTATTATGTGGAAAAGAATCAATCATATGAAAATGTTTTGTATGTTTATATGTACGTTTAAAACAAGGTTTATACATCAGGAAATGCCTGTACCAAGTCAGGAATATGACAGTTGTTTTCCATTTGTTCGATGTGTTTGAGCTATTGATTTTGCCATTTGATAAGAGACTTTTGGTTTTGAATATTCCTTGGAGTTCGGTATTTTTGTTATTTTACTTTTCATCATGGTCTACTCGATTCACTATACAAAAACATGTATGTATTTTCGATCCTGTTACGCAGTTCCTGTGGCTGAGCTGTATATTAAAACAGACATCTAAACATGCAATATAATAAAAATGAAATTTTAAAACTGAAGCACCATGATAAATGACAAACATTCAAAACAGCATTTTGTTTCAAATTATCTACTTTCATTAATAAGCTCATTATCGATACTAGGATTAAAAGTTTGTACTCCAGACGCGCGTTTCGTCTACAAACACATATGTGTGTCCTGGTAGTATATACATGATAGTCGTGTTTAAATTCTGCCTCCAAACTACTTTTTTATTAGAACTAATGGTTTACTTTTATAAATTTTGACTTGGATGGAGAGTTGTCTCTGAGTCATTGGCACTCATACCACATCTTCTTATATCTAATAACGAGTCCATGGCCACTTTATCAGTTTTGTATCTTGATTAAGATAAAGATTTTTTAAAGATTTAATCATATTAATGACTATGACGTGGAAGTTATATGAACACACATGCTCCATATAAATTTATAGTAGATAAATCATAGATTTAATCACACGATTAATATGTGCAAACAGAAAGTTATTTCTAAAACAATGTGTTAATACACCTGGATTATATTTGGAACTTATATTTTCAAACAGGTTAGGTGTTAATTGTTTTGAAATTTTACGACATGTGTTGTTAACCCACGGGAAAACACCGTTCTTTTTGATGTATTTGTACGTAACCAACATTGAATTAGAAACATTACATCACGTCGCAACGGGGAATGTGACTTAGTCTTATATCATTTTCTTACCACAGCACTATTAATAAATCTACGGGAGAACATTAATAATGTTGAATGTTATAAATTTTCCACTAATCATCTTATAGACTTTACACATGTTATATGCTGTATATTTAGATATAATTGCGTGCATTTATTATTTCGATTTTTGAAGAATGGAAATCAATGTGAGATAAATTATTGCGACTTCAGGAATATCTGCATACGTATATATATATATCAGAATGCAAGTTCTTATTATTGAGGTACCAACCAAGTCACATTAGTTGCTTTAATAAAAAACTCATAATTGTTTCTGAATTTAAAGTATACATCAGTAAAAACGCAGCTATTTCTGTATTCTTCAATGTTTTTCGTTCATTCTTCTTTATCTTTTAAAATAATGGCTATTCTGTAATTACTTGATAACTGTATTCTGGACATTGTTCTTTTCTGTAATCAGTATATAATCCAATTTTTTGAAGTAATTCTTTATATTTCAGCCCCCACCCCCCACCCCATTATTTTTCTATTCTTTATTTTTTTTACCATTTGTCTCTATTATTTATTTTGTTGCCCATTATTCTCTATTCTGTAAACCCAATATACGTGCTTTTGTTTTTATTCATTTTCTAATACACGATTATTGATTGTTTTTTTATTTCTCTAGACATGGATCCTAATCAAATGAAAGCACTTGACCAATGTCATCCAGATATACTGCGAGATGTAGACATTGACAAACAATTTCTTCTCAGAATGTACATAGACAACATTATTACTCAAGCTCAAAGCGAAGATATAGAGGTTAGAAATTAAAACAAAAATATTCTTTAAATACTCTTACTTTTTTAAAGCTAAAAACAGCAGGTAGAGGTATAAAATATCTCAATATAACGCATTAGTGTTCATGTAGACACCTTTCGCAAACTAACACGGAATATTTTTTCTTAACGAATTATATGCCAACAAAATTTAGTATGATCAAACTTATAATAATTAGTCAACCACAATTAGTATCAATACTATTTTGAAATAATTAAAATCACACGAAGTTCATATCAATAGTTTAACAGTTGAACTGAAGATAAATAATATTGAAGTATACATTTTAAAAATTTACAAAAGAAGTATAATTATGACAATTATCTGTTGATCTTGATAGTTTGTAAAACGTATTGTTAAACATATGTAATATTATTGTGACCCTACAAAGTAATTTAAGTTATATAATTGTCTTGTGCTTCTTCGTTTTGTTGTTACATTATCAAATTGATATTCTGTGGTTTCATATATTTTGCATGGTAAGCATTTTTCGTAAATTGAACAACATTGTACCTCGCGTTTTTTTGATTTTGTGATTTTGCCAGAATCTGCTTAGAAGCCTCAAAAATTTTATAAGTTGATGAGCATTTAAATTCGAATTTTTCCTTTACCCAGAAAATGCACGACAATTAGTATCCCACGTATAATAATGAATAAACAGTATGTATGACAAACTGATATTAATTATATAATAATAGTGTTTGTATTGTTAGACCAAATCTATTTAATTGTATGATTTCACTCCAAATATTTTAAAAGTCAAATGCAGTGAATACTGACAACATCCCTTACAACTGTAGCACTTCAAATCAGTCTTCAGATTTCGTTTGGAAGTTTGACTGTACCTTCAGAATCAGTATTACAAACGGAACACCACACTCTTATTTGAACCGGATTGTTATTTGAAAATGTCTTACAAATGGGCAGTTTAGCTAGCGATAAAACCACGATTTACCTACCATTTTCTTCGGAAACTGCCTGCACCAAGTCAGGAATATGGCAGTTGTTTTTCACTTGTTCCGTTGATTGATAGCGTTTGATTATGTCAGTTTTTATGGACTTCCCCTTTTTGAATTTGCCTTGGAGTATTTTTGTAACAGTGTAAACTTTCGTTTTCCTTCAAAAATATACTTATTATAAAAAGATATCAATTAAACCACGTTAACACTTTTAAGTTTTAAATATTGTCTTTATCACAACTACAATTGATTTTTTTTTTATTAAATACTACCAACACTATATATATATATATATTTGTATTGTTAAACAGTTATTAACACACACGAACACCTATTATCCTACATCATACGTATATTTTGGCATTGCACGAGGTCATACTTGTCTCAGGCTGTTAAGGACCCCTTTACATTAAATTCGTTGAAATGGGCTGATTGATAGGATAGTCCTGCAAAATATTGTTTTCTTATTTGTATAATTTGTCTTTGAAAAGGGATAAGTGAAAATGGTTATGATTTTAAAAACTGAAAAATGATATGAATAAGAGACCTTCAAATTCAAGTTCGTCAATAATCCGTCACGCCAAATTGTTGCATCAAAAAAGTTGAAATTTCGATCTTAACTTCTTGAAAAAAATATGCTGCATTCAAAAAATATCATGCAGTTGTTTTATACGGTGGTGACGAATTTATGCAGTTGTATATGCTGTTATACACAAACGTGATATTTTGATCTGTCAAAGGTTTAGCTATCACCGAGTTACGTCCCTGTATTAACACTTCATATCGTACTATCAATAAAACTGTTGTACTGTTAGGGACTTATCATTTTTTATCATCTGGGAGGGGGGCTGGTCAAAATGCAGGGGTTTTTTTTTCTGCGTGTGGGAAAGGGGGGTTCAAATTTTTTTTATAAATTCAAAGAGGGGGGATCAACATTTTTTGCACATGGAAATGAGTAGTTTGCATACTTCAAAATACAAAATGTGAAGAATAACCGATGATTACAATGGTCAAATGGAAATATATTTTTACCACCATTCATATCATGACAATTAAGTAAGACATCACATGACTAAGGTGATGTAGGAAGCTGCCATTTTTGTGTCATTTTGTCCCATATAAAATGCATTAGTGCTTCATAACCCGAATAATCCTGTCGTTATACCGTATATCGGGTTTTTTCGTTCGTGTTTAATTTTCGTTTTGTTCGCGGCAGCTTAAGAAATGCGAAAATTTGACCCCGCGTAAATTTCACTGCATATTCCCAGATTTATTGTTTTTTGAAAGTTTCATACATTAAACTGTTGATTATCGAGTCTTTTGTGTTGTTTGGTAGATCACAAGCAAGTGTTTACTTAATTAAGGTATCTGTTTATATAATAATTAAAATTACTAAAATTACATGGCACACCTTTTGATCAACACAGCAATCAGTTACAGGTTAACAAATGTTAATTAGAGACGATCTATTAAATGGTGTCATAACCCAAAATATTTTAAAGATTTTTGCATCTATGTAAAATTTAAATTAAAATAAATCACATATATACACGGATATTTGTATTTTTAACAATACGATACAGTTATATTTTCGCGTGTATTTTCCCACTCAGTGAAAATTTAACCTGCCCATTTTGTCATCATATGGGAAAAAACCTGACGTGAAAAAAACCCGATAAACAGTATTCCACTCACATTTTGTTATAATCAGCTTAATAGTTTGGGAAAAATTAAGTATAAATTAAAATTTACAGCGATTTGAGAAAAAATTTGTAAAAAAATTAAAATCAAGCAGCATCATGAAAGAAAATAGAGTAGAGCAATAAATTCTCCAATAAATGATCAAATGTTCATCTCATCTGCATACAAACAGTTGAATTGTGATACAAAAGTCTAAACAGATGATTCTGAGATGACGAACACCACTAATGTGCCTTTTTGTTTTCATTAAAAGATCCCTTTGGGTCCATTTAGACCTCTCATTCCCTCAAAATTTGTACTGTTTAAACTAATAAAACAAAATTTTGGGGTTACTATGATGATATATCACACATTTACGAATGAAATGTAACAATAAATGAGTAATTGAATTGTTCAAGCTAAAATGAGAAATAACTCGGTGTTTTGCATGTTAAAATTTTGGCATGTTAATGTTTAATAGAGGGGGGATCACATTTTTTAAGTGTTTTTACAGAGGGATCAAATAAAAATAGTGAAATATTATCAAGAAAATTTTATATGTTTGATTTCAAAATGACCAGCCCCCCCTCCCAGGTAAAAAATGATAAGTCCCTTATGAAAGAGAGGTGAAAAACACCAAAGGGACATTCAACTCGAAAGTCGAAAATAAAATGACAACGCTATGGCACGAAACGAAAAGACAAACAACAGTATACAATACACGACACAGAAACATGAAGACCAATCAACACAAACCGGTTTAGTGGATCGGTTTCTCACAATGTGATGTTCTTTATAAATGTAAATAATTTAGAATAATGACTCTTCGTTTGTTTACACACTATAACACATTCAGATATATTATTGATTTTTTTAGCTATTTCCTAATAGCTGAAGGTATAGCAGTAGTGTATGCTGTAACTTAAATGAGTCATAATTTTCTCCTCTGTTGTTACTATAAAGAACTGACTCAAAATTGAAATTCCGCTGCAGAAGTCTTAAAGTCAAAAGGCCAAATAAAGCCTGAAGTAGAAGAGCATTCACAACATAAGATTCCGAAAGGTTTTGTCATAAACAGCTAAGGTAATCAATTCCTTCCTTGGGTAGAAAATCTTAGTATTCCGATCAATTCAAAGTTATAAAAGCAGTTGATTTATAAATATGACCATATCAATGATAATTCATGTCAACACAGAATTTCTCACTTCTAATACACTCGGAAAAGAAACCTTAAACGGCAGTGGCATCAACTTAGTAGTTGTAAAATATATCAGGCTTTAAATTGTGTACACCAGACGCGCAATCCATAACGCTCTAATAAAAAGAGTAAAATGTCAAATAAAGTACTAAGTTGAAGAGCATTGAGGACCCAAAAATCTGAAAGGCCATGCCAAATACAGCGAAATTACTTTACCTGTCGTGAAAAAGTATCTGTTAGAATAATAGAAAGTAAAGATGTTGACGAAGACCTTATTCAATGTCTTCATATATAATAATATTTAGACACGAATATGGTTTAAATAGGGTGTCTCTTGTTTTTATGAGTCATGGGTGGTTGTCTTTTGAAGTCTGCCTTTCATCCCTTTTTTATCATTTCCATTTATTTTTGTACAAAGTCAAATACTTTACAAACAAAATCAAAAAGATTGTCCTGGTTATTTTAACTTACAAGACATTCTGAATTCAAAAACCCCCCAAAAAAACTTCGAATGAACTTTTAAACATTATGTTGTACTTAGAAACTGTTTATAAAATAGCAAAAAGGATACTCATAAGTCGAAGACAAACTGACAACGTCATTGCATAAAAAGGAATAAAGACGAAAAACCTTAGAGTCTGCAGTATTAAATTGCATCATATGAATTTCTACAATGAGCAAATCCAACATCGTTCAGTTCATTAGATACAAAAGACCCTGCGATAAGAACTTGTGGAAAAATCAAGAGAAAAATGAATGTGATACATAATAATTATAAAATTGCCTTTCAATACCATTATTGTCTTGAAAATTGTTTGGAACAATATTGTGAAAATAAATGTATAAAGTTCGAGATTGCATGTTAGTTACGTAAGTGCGTCACTATTTTTGATATCCTGTGGTGTTTTTCGTTGATGGAGAATATGTTCGTTGTTGTTCTCTGGTTTGTATGTTGTGTCGACTATTATATTATTCGTTTGTGCGTTTCTCTGTTTTGAATGTTCTTGCGTGTGTTTGTGCTGTATTTCTGTCACTTAGTGTTTTAGCGATATTTTTTAACATTGTCATAAAGCGGGAGGTTTGGCATGCCATGAAACTAGGTTCAACCCACTATTTTTTCTTAAAATGTCCTGTACCAAGTCAGGTATATGGCAATTGTTATCAAATAGTTCGTTTCTATGTGTGTTGGCGTTTGTTTTTGTTGCACTTCGGTGTTCCTGTTGTTCCTTTGTTTTCCTCTTATAGTTGATGTGTTTTCCTCGGTTTTGGTTTGTAACCCGGATTTGTTTTCTCTAAATCAATTTATGACTTTTGAACACCGGTGTACTACTGTTGGCATTCTTTATACATCATATGTTACAAAAAAAGTTGAATATGTTTTATATACTTGATTGGCTAAGTTTTACTGTAACGGAACGTGTACATGAACTTTATAAAGAAAATCCTTTATCTTATCAAAATCTTCAGAAATGTATTACTTTTAAATTATTGTCTACTCGTACGCAATTCGCCGATAGCATTTCCGTATGCACTGATTAATAAAAGGAAAGGAGAGCTCAAACGTTGAAGTCAGATAGTGTTGATTGATTTTGAAAACCAAATTAAATCACCAAACCATTTACCAAATGTTTATGGCAAAGTTTAATTAATAAATATCAACGCATGGACATTATATAAAACAAATAATAACATGAATAAACATCGCTCTATTGCATGTCTATAGTCCCACTTTTTTTCACGCGCTCAATGATTCTATATTGATTCTTAATTAAGGTCGCTTTCGGTAAACTTCGGCAATAAGATATGTAAACATGAAAGTTAATAAACAAGACAAATAGTTTTCTCGATTATATGTTATGGATTCGAAATAATTGTAACAAATTGTGCATAGAGAACGACTTAGTGTAGAATATATACATGCTTTGGTGCATAAATTTCCTTGACATCATAATTTCACGAAAATCCTTTCATATGACAATGTATAGGATATTGATTAGACAATATAACATATAATGAATAAATGAAAAATTATTAAGATTCCCCTCCCAAATCTTTGTCTTTTTTTATTTTAGATAATAACTATAGCATGTAGAAAGAAATGTTTTAAAGTTGATTTCCGAAAATAAAAAGATCTAACTGTATAAATGCCAGTCTGATCCTTATTTAGTTGTAATGATTTATAGAACCTCCAATAGTATGCAACGATTTACTAATTTTGGATGATAGAAATGAATCTTTATCTTGATCCTTCCTTATACCGTACTGTGTTCAGTGGATTGATTTATTTCTATCAATCTCTATTTCATATAAATATCGAATACTTCACAATTATTATTCTTGTGAAATGTATGTACTGTTTACAGCAAGAAACAACCAGAAGAGCAAAAGCTTCCAAACTATTAGAGGTTTTGCCACGTAGAGGACCATCCTGTTTTCGTCAATTCGTTAACAAACTACGCCAAGACTATCCTTGGATTGCGAAAAAACTTGATACAGAATATGAAAAGGCGAAAAGAGAAATACCAAAAGATATCAATACAAAATTGTTGGATGTCTATAACAACCAATTATGTCGATTGGTTCATGGTGTTTATGATCACAGCTTTTTGTTGCCACCAGAAACCCAACCTGAATATTTAGTTAATCAAATATCCGACAATGTGCGTATTCTGCATAGCAGATGTTACCGAGCTCTTGGAATATCATCACGTGATCATGATCCAGTAATCACATACTTTTCACTTTCACAACTTATAGACCGTAAAGTTCATTGTTTACAAAACAGTCTCCACGAAATGAAATGGTCACTCTATGAGGAGAAGAAGAAAAAGAACAAATCAAATATTATAGTTTTAGACCAAAAATTTGAAAAGGAAATCACTAAAACGAAAAAGGCACTCGAGAAACAAAAAGAAGCGAACAAAAAACTAGAATCCTCATTGAAAGTAAAAACCAAACAGATACAATCTCTATCAAGAGAAAGCACACTTTTACAAACACAAAACCAGCAATTGAAGGAACGTGTGCAAGAACTTGAAAGTGCAATGATTTATCAGCGTCAGTCGTCACAGGTATCAATGATCACCGAGTGGAGGATGTGAAGGGTACCATATTTTGTATTATTTAATAAGCAAGTCAATTTATTTGAGTCTCGATGCAAATAAGGGATCCTATATTTTGTAAGCGTCGCCGTGTCGGCAGTGTCACCAACATTTAAAACCGATTCAAATTAAAATAAGTGTAGACATAAATTAAAATAAGTGTAGACATCAATAATTTTGCCGACCCACCATGAAATTTTACGAAATGTGAACAGTAGCTTCGTAATCAAGACATAGCATTTGAAGAAGAATGAAAATAAAATTTTCGTATGTTTACAGATTTATAAATAGATTTGTACAGTTAAAATACAATCTATAGGTTAAGTTTTTCAGACATTAATAAATGTCAGCCCATCGTTGAAATTTACGAAACTTTGACAGAACCTTTACTGTGATTATGAAACTGCATATCAAACAAAATTTAGAAAGTATATTATTTCATTTCTTTTGATGATAAAAAAATTTAGTTTTTAGAAGTTAACATGACAATTAGGGGTTAAGTTATACAAGCATCAATAACTTTGTGAAACCTTCATGCAAGTTTACAGAAGCTTCTTCATGATAAAGAAATACTAACATCTGAAAATAGGTTTTCCTTTTTTTCTATTGATATTTTACAAATAGATTGACTTGGCTTTTGTAGTTAACATTAAGATAAGTCAAGGTTTGATTCTTTTAGGCATTGATATATTTTTTTTTAATCTTCATGGAATTTAACCAAAATTGGACAACAGATTCATACCAATTATGATTACCCAGTATTATGTTTATGAAATAGCATCTGATAAAAACATATTATATGATTTCATTCTTGTTTTTACTAATTAATGGACTTATATTTTGTTTTCTGTTTTAGAGTTCTGTTTCGCTTACATTCACATGCAACCTAGGGCTAAAGTTTGAAAGTATCAATTACCTATTTCCAACCTCCATGGAATTTCAGGAAACTTTAGACTTTTAAAGATGCTTCTTCATAATCCAGCGATAGCATCCAGAGTAAAATCTATTTTGTGTCAATTTTTCCGTATTTTACTAATAAATGGATTCAGGAGGTGTAGAGTATACATCAATGAGACAATAACCCACCAACAAATATATCCATAATTCAGGTTTATTTTCCCATTCAGATGCAGTCTGTGGTTTACAATTCAAATTGTAATACCTCCTTCAAAATTGCATGGCATTTGAAAAAAAATATGGCAAATGTTTCTTCATGATCGAAATCCCTGTAGGTTGCACTTTGTAAATACAGCTGTTTCTCAAACCACGCCTCTTTTGGGGAGATTTAGAATATTCATAGAAAATTAATTTTGTTTACATACTGGTTCCCAGTTATGCTCTCTGTGTTCCATCTCATAGAGACATAACTTGGGAATGTTACCAGTAAATATACATGTGCATATTGTTTACATTGAAATCTGTGGTAACCCTTCATTCGAGGAAGGGGTAGTTAAGAAAATTAGTGTTAGTTTAAACTCTGAAAAGTTCAGGGCATATAAACGTTGAAAATATGCCGCACAACCCTATATTTTGACCTTTGAAAAAAATTGTAGTGCATATGAACTTTCAATTCTAGGATAAGATTTTGTTCAAAACTTCATAGTAAAAGTGGTACAGTTTTAGCCGTAAAAGGAGTTCCTATGGGAAATTGCATTGTTAATATTTACAGAAATGCAACCTATATAGGGTGAAAAAAGAAAACATTCAGAATTTAACCAAATTTGCTTTATCTCACAGATTTTAAAGAAATTAACTCAAATATGAAGTTTTATAAATATTTCATGAAGATTGATAGAATCCTGGGCCTTAGATATGATGACTCAGCATAAATTCACAGTTTACAGTATGCATAGTTTACTTAAAGTCCTGAATACAAAATTTATTCATAATATTTGCATGTTTGTAAGTTAAATTGTTAAGAAGTGCTTATATTTACTCTTCGCAGTCATTGAAACTCATCGATCCTTCCTGAATATTATTTATGGGATGTTTGTGTCCTGTCATTAACCCAAAAGTAAGCCGTAACACCTAAATCTGCTTTTTTGTCACCACGGCATAAAAAATACAAGCTAGAAATACAAAAATATCTCAACAAAACTTACAATAGTGTGTTCTATCCTGAATATGTACTAAATATTCCAAATTGCTAGAAACAGCAGAATAATTTAGGAAATTTGAGTCCCCAGGGACAAAAACAGAGAAAATTGCCTACCCCCTGGGTCATAAAACAGATAATTTAACTTGTAAATGCTATGATTTTATGATTTTTAAGTTCTTGATATAGAAAACAATAACTATGCTTGGAAGTTATGCAAAAATTAGATGTTAGCAGTCATCTCTATAACATTTTAAGTGAATTTATATCTCAGACTGGTATTTGCATACATACAACTATTGCAAATATGGCTTTGTCTGAACACTTCTAGTATATTAATTAGGTAAATTGTGTCAGATATATGGTTACAGATGATACTGTTGTGACAAGAATTCTAAATTGACCATTTGAGGTAGAAAATGTGAACTTTAATTGACAAATAGGCATACAGTAAGATGTGGACTGGAGACAGAGGCAGGATTGGATATTTTATATAATCTTGAATGTTGTAATGATTGACTGCTAAACATAACATTTATAGTATTCTGATATGCTTTCAATATGTTATCAAAACAGTTTTAAACAGGTTCTAGGCATTTTATATCAGAAAATATGCAAATAGGGTAAGCTGGCAATAATTAAAGTCTTGTTTTCAAATTCTTTTAAAAATTGAAACAGGGGAGGGGTATAAAATGTTCAGTAAAAAAAAACTAAGAGTATACACAGTGATTTCTTTCAGGCTATAATTCTGATAAATGAGTATTAATGTGAGAAAAACTGATTTTAGAGAGTTTTCTATTTGAATAAATGTTTGTATAGGTTGCACTTTGTAAATACAGCTGTTTCTCAAACCACGCCTCTTTTGGGGAGATTTAGAATATTCATAGAAAATTAATTTTGTTTACATACTGGTTCCAAGTTATGCTCTCTGTGTTCCATCTCATAGAGACATAACTTGGGAATGTTACCAGTAAATATACATGTGCATATTGTTTACATTGAAATCTGTGGTAACCCTTCATTCGAGGAAGGGGTAGTTAAGAAAATTAGTGTTAGTTTAAACTCTGAAAAGTTCAGGGCATATAAACGTTGAAAATATGCCGCACAACCCTATATTTTGACCTTTGAAAAAAATTGTAGTGCATATGAACTTTCAATTCTAGGATAAGATTTTGTTCAAAACTTCATAGTAAAAGTGGTACAGTTTAAGCCGTAAAAGGAGTTCCTATGGGAAATTGCATTGTCAATATTTACAGAAATGCAACCTGTAAGTGTTTGATTTATCAAGTTTGATTTTGTTTTACTGATTAATGGACATCATTTGGACGCTGTACAAAATCGCAATACCAATATTACAGCCATAGTCACACGCATGACTTATGGTTCCGGATTTTATAAGCAGTTCTTATTTTCCAGGAGAAGCATTATTACAACAACAGGCTAATTTTAAGGAGACTTTCCCGATTATCAATTAATTTTTGATAAAGCATACCTATATGCAACAAGAGTGCACACGCTGAAATGACTCGTCTTCTTTACTTATCATTGATATTATGTTGATAGTCCTATATATAAAGCTTTACTACAACTATCACATTAATTTAACATGATCCAAAAATGAGGTCAAGGTCATATAAACAAAACAAGAATTACATGTACACCTTACAATCATTCAATACACTAAATATAGTTGACCTATTGCTAATAAATTCTAAGATACAGGCTTAATCAAGAAAACTAAACATTGACGAATGAACCATGAAAATGAGGTCAAGATCAGATGAACCATGCCAGGCAGACATGTACAGCTTGCAATCCTTCCATACACCAAATATAGTTGACCTATTGCTTATATTATTAGAAAAACAGACCAAAACACAAAAACTTAATTCTGAGCAACGAACCGTGAAAATTAGGTCAAGGTAAAAAAAAACTGCAAGACTGACATGTACATCATAAAACATTTCCATACACCAAATATAGTTGACCTATTGCATATAGTATTAGAAAAAAAAAACCTCAAAAACTTAACTTTGACCACTGAACCATGAAAATGAGGTCAAGGTCAGAAGACACCTGCCAGCAAGACATGTACACTTTACAATCATTCCATACACCAAATATAGTAGACCTATTGCATACAGTATAAGAAAAACAGACCAAAACACAGAAATTTAACTATAACCCATGAACCATGAAAATGAGGTCAAGGTCAGATGACACATGCCAGTTGGACATGTACACCTTACAGTCCTTCCATAAACCAAATATGCTAGACATATTGCTTCTAGTATCTGCGATATGGACTTGACCACCAAAACTTAACCTTGTTCACTGATCCATGAAACGAGGTCGATGTCAAGTGAAAACTGTCTGACGGGCATGAGGACCTCGCAAGGTACGCACATACCAAATATAGTTATCCTATTACTCGTAATAACAGGGAAAATAACATTACAAAAAATCTTAATTTTTTTTTCAAGTAGTCACTGAACCATGAAAATGAGGTCAAGGACAATGGACATGTGACAGATGGAAACTTCGTAGTATAAGGCAGCTCTATAGAAAGTATGAAGCATCCAGGTCTTCCACCTTCTAAAATATAAAGCTTTAAAGAAGTAAGCTAACGCCGCCGCCGCCGCCGCCGCCGCCGCCCCTGTCGCCGGATCACTATCCCTATGTAGAGCTTTCTGCGACAATAGTCGCAGGCTCGACAAAAAATGATTTACCATAATACAGTTGTGCCAAATGAATTATTGTATCTAAATCATGTGCTCTTTTTAAAGATGTTATTTGGATACGTCGAGTTCGTATATTCCGGAACTGCCTTTGTCCAATTCGTAAAACAATTGGTATTTTTATGTGCATCGGTTTCTTAAAGACATAATTTGGCGGTCCTGCTCTTTTGTTTTGTTCTAACTTTACATGTTCCCCATCATTTACATAATGTTTTCTCTCAATCGATTTATGACTTTCGAACAGCGGTATACTACTGTTGGCTTTATTTACATAAAATACACAATATATTCCGCAGAATTACTGTTTAATTCTAAAATGAGCAAATACTAACACATTTTCATATTTTAAATACTAAACTTCGTAAAATTCAGTACGGGTTTACAAGAACAGCTCGCTTTGTTTGTTATAGCTGAAACGCAGTAGAAGTGGACCATTTACTGCCTTATTGGGTTAGAATAACGATGTAGTTTTAGTTTCAAGTCTAAAAAAAGGCTAAAGATTACTAAGAGACATTCAAAACTCACAAGTCGAAGAAAAACAGACAATGACAAGG